TGAATATATGCAGAGGAAAAACTCTAAAATTAAATAATAAATCTGACAAATAGATTATAGAACATTAAGATTCAGGAGGAAATGAGCTGACTTCACACCCTCTTGCCTTCTTAAAAAACATATTAGCTATCTTGGTTCTAACATCTCTTGTTACCCAGAAGAGAAAACAGGAAAGATAAGAGTTGGAAGCTGAAAATATGAGTCAAAGGAAAAGTCTACAGAAAAAAAAATTTAGAGAGGAGAAATAAATTTGCGAAGTAAAAAAGAAAAATAATTGTGACTTTAAATGAAACATGTTTTATTCTGCATTCTATCATGTGACTTACAAGCCAGACAACTAATAATAGTTCTTAAGATTGCTGATCCCTATTCCTCCTCAATCCTGAGGTTTCGATTAGCTCTTCAAGTCAGAGAAGAGGAAAAGAATAACAGAGTACTGAAGGATCTTGTCTAACGGCCAATAGCATGCTACACATATCCTAGAGCATGGTTTCAGATCAACTAACAGAACTATGGCTAAATCATAATTCTGGTCATCTATGGAGCCCGTTAGATAAGTGACTTCTAAAAACTCCTAAGGATCTGGAATACTTCCACAGGCCACTGCAATAAACCTCATTTCCAATGTTTTAGAATTATTTCTATCTCATCTTCAGTTGTCATGTTATTTGAAGAAATCTTTTACAACTTCACAACAATAAATGAATCCACTTCTGTCTCTCTATCTCCATAAGTAGTTGTCATAACACCTACTGGGAAATTCCTCTTTCTATACTCGCAGCTCAAGCCACAGCAAAGGAACAACACCCTCACTCCTTGCCCCCCTCCCGCTGCTACTGTATCCACAGACTCTTTAAAACAAACAGAACAGACTATTGACCATAAAACAACATATTCCTAAAATTTGTTAAGGTACTTTTAAACAATGCAATCAATGTGTCAATAGAAAACTTAACTCATATATACAAAACTAAGCTAAAAATTAAATATGGGTAATTTACATTTTTTTTTTCAAGAATATGTATATATTCTTCAAGGTTTTTCTCTTGAAATAGTGAGTAAAGAAGAAAAAATAAGGGATAAGAACCAAGTCATTGTGCATTCAAGGTACATCTGCTAATGAATACCTGCCCAGTGTCAGCCATACCTCATCCAGCCCTCACTTGTACTACCCAAACTTAGGAAATAGAAGTGCAAGCCATCTCTTTTGTTTCTACTTTTCATCACACTTAGGAGAGGACCGCATCTTCAGAAAGAAAGATGAGTTATATTCTAAAGAAAAACTCTTAATTGAGCCAATAGCAGCAAAGGTGGTTATTATCTATAGCCAGAGATAGGTCTTAATATATTATAAGCAGTTTCTGATGGTTCTTTTATTACCCTACACCAAGAAGAAAATGTGCTATATTTGTTTATATAGCCTACATGCAAAATGGCTTCCAGCACCCATTTCCTAGGCTTCTTCTCAAGAGGCTCAACCCTAAGCCTCTGAGATGAAAGAGAACAAGATTCAAAATAAAACCAAAAAATAGGAATGAAGACCAGAAAGGAATAGGAAGAACAAAGACTTTCAAATCACTTCTTGTTTATTCTACCTTTCTAAGCTGGTCCCAGTTTAGCCTCTAACTTCTATGTCTGCCGTGATGTTTCTTTGGTTATTGTGATAAATATTCCTAATCTCTCTAGGCCCTTCTAACGTAAACCAGCCCTGACAAAGTTTCATTTTTTTCTCAGTCACTCACATATTTTTGACAGTCCTTGAACCCTCTGTCTCTCCTTCTAAATTGTTGTGTAGTCCTAGAGTTATGACAGAGAAAACATGTGGAAACAGGTGAGTGAAGAAAATTCTAGCAATCGGGCTCCCCTTTTTCTTCCATATAGTATTTAAGAAGTAAAGCAAGAAGAAAAGGATAACAAACAGAAGAAAGGCTGTGGTAAATAGCTAACCCAAGCTTTTTAAGAATTCTCTTATCTTTTCACTGGTTTTAGGTAGTTAAGTCTGGAAAATATTTTTGGAATATGTCTTGTGTGTAGGAATGCATAAAAGATAACACTTTGCAAAAGTCAAACATACATGTTTAATAATGTGCAACTAATGAAGATGGTTTATAAATGAAATACCACCTACACATTTAGATCCCTAAATATATTACACTATTAATCATTAAAGTTAGACCTATAAGTACAAGTTTTCCATATGTGGAAAAGTAAATCTGTTTTTAAATTAAAGAGAAATTATAACTCTAATTTTTAAAAATAAAACTATCAAGATATAATTCAAGTGTAGCTGCTTAGTCACTGAATAAATTTAAATTTGATAATAAAACATTTAAGTTTCAACCAATGCACCTTTGTTGAAGCACATTTAGCTGAAATAACTCCAAGTCTGGTTTATTTCCATCACATATAGTACATTTTTCCAACAAGAGCATGTACATTCAATATAGAACATTTCCAGCAACAGTTACAGTCTTTCTAGTTTCCTTTCACAGTATATTTTAGTGCAAAGCACTAGGGAGGGTAAATGTTTCTCTAGCTATAGAAGTATTTTATTATGACCTTGTGGATCTTCAACATTTTAAAATTTTATACAAAAGTATATAGATGGGTAGGGTCCCTCCTAAGTACAGGTATGAACCTATATAAAAACATGGTATATTCTCTGCTGTACCTTTTAAAATTATAATTTGACAAAAATTACTAAAAAATAAAATATTCCCTAAAAAGTACAAAAGATACATAAAACCTGTCCAAAATTTCATAAAGATAGGTGTACTTCTATTTTTCCTAAAATCTTGATTATAAAAATGAACGAGAATTCATTATTTTCCAAATTTTACAGTAGGAATCAAATAGCTAAAGTGGTCATTTCAGATTTTACTTGGGAGAAAAAAAATCAGGGTTTACACCCAACTGCCTTTTTTAGCAATATTTAAAGAAATAAACTAGTATCATAAGAAGAGGTTGTGCATGGATTGTCAGCATCCATAAAATATCGGTAAGCTATTTACTACCTTCATATTAACATTAGTAAATGTGTGGTCTTTTAAAAAAATAGAAACTGAAAAATTAAGTTGCATCTATCATTAAAGTGCTTTGTATAAAATTTAAAGAAAAATAGGGGAATGTTAAATTTTCATAAAAACCTCAGATGTTTACAAATGAAAAATGTAATGATCATGGGTGAAAATGAACTGGAACTTTTCTGTAAGTATATATTTTAGAATGAAACTTCCAAACATTTAAGTGCTGGAGAACGAGTTAGAAATAAACGAATGTAAAAATAATTACCAATAATTAGTAAGCTAAATATGTATAATGTGTTGATACTAATTTGTCTTTCAGTTATAACATACACTCACTAGGAAACCAGGTTTCTGTACAATCCAGATGAAAATTTTGCCAAATGAAGTGGAACAAAACTAAAATCACTAAGGTATCAAGTCTTTGTCAATTAAAAATCACCAGTGGTGATATTTTCTTCAGGTTGTTGATCACTTTAATCAGCAAATTGTTTGAAAAACAAAATTTGCAACATTTTTGTAGACACTGGTTAGCTGATGGACTGCGATGACAATATATAAATGTCACAGCTACTTAAAAGTGCTGGGAAAGGCAGAGCCTTTGAAACAAGTGGTTATAATTATCCTTTTAGTGAGAAAACAGCAGTTACAGTCAAATATTTATGAAAATGTTTTTCTTTTTTTTTTTTTCTCATAGTACCATTTGAAGACGTTTAGTGGTTCTAACACCAATTTAAAGTCTTTCCACAAATATGAACTCCAAACCTTTTCGTACATCACTTGAAGTTATCTGAGGAGAAATGGAATAAATGAACACTTTTGAGTTCACCAATCAAAGCTTGTTTTTAAAATTATACAATAGTAAATAACTTCTAAAGAATGGTTTCATCACAAGTTTTCCACAAAAATAAAAAATGTTATAATCAAACCACAACATTTAAGCTACTCAGCACTCTTGCGGACCTGAATCCAAAACTAACTTAATACTAATTAAATATATTACTTGCCTTAACTCAGGGGACATAGGTACTGGAGGTAAACTTTAAATTAAAAATATAGAGAGACTTGAAAAAAAAGGATAGGGAATCTACTCCTTATTTTATATTGCATTTAAAAAAATTTGTATTTGTTCCAAAACCTCCTAAAAAAAAGTCTTATTTTTTCTTTCTTCCCAACAGGGATTTCACTTTTCTTGCAACGCACAACCACACACACAAAAAAATTTTTTTAGTCCCTATTTAATAATATTAACTATATTTTTTAAATGATCACCAAAAAGGTTAAACAAAAAAGGAAAAAATAAGAGGAGTAATCATTCTTCTCATAGATCAAACTTAAAAATACTCCCAAGGAGAAGGAAAAAGAAATTCCAAACTTTTATCAAGTTTCCCCCTTTGCCTAAAAGCACTATGTTAAATGTAAATAATAATGCTAATCATTCTAAATTCAATTTGGGGATTTGTTTTTTTTTAGTGCAGTACTTTATTTAGCCATCACAGATTAATTTTTACAATAATTACAGTGCTTCAAAGGACTTTTTCCCTATAATTATCGCCTTCACAAATTCATTCTTCTAATATATTTAACTTTCCTACAATGCATTTATTAGTAGACTAAGTCACTGAATCAAATTAAACCTGTGCAAAGTTAAACAGAAGACTTCTACTGTAAACATAAGCCAATATAAATGTATATTTTACAACACAGAGAGGAAAGCACTGACCCTGTGCCATCTACCTATAACTATATTGCATTGTCCTGTGGAAGGTAAGTTCTGAAGTTAAGTTTTGTTCCCAAGCCACTGGAATAAAGGTCACTGAAGAGGAAATGCAATATGTGCATTACTCTTGCAGTTCCCATTGCCATAGGATATATGAAAACAAATGTGTTAAAATGGAACCAGCTATAAATTATGGTCAAATGATTTTTTTAGTTCGATGGGGAGAAAAAAGCAAAACTCTGTTAACTGTTCCTCACCAGACAAGAGCCTTAGATCTTGTACTTCGGCCTTTGGTTTTGTTTCCTTCAGGTGAATTGGAAGCATTTGCCTTATGAGTTTTCTTATGATGTTCAAGATATGTCTTTTTGGCAAATGCCTTTCCACATTTATTGCATCTGTGAAGAGAGAAGTTTTTCGTGACTTTTACTTCAATACCAACGTCAGCTACTTCATACTTTTTACTAGGAGAGTTAGAAGTGCCATCATGTTTTGAATCGCTAAGTTTTGCTTCATCCCTTGAAGGGCCTCTTTTTGCCACTTTATTTAGAACAAAATCAATGGGCTTTTTTATAGCTCTGATCTCCAAACTGGCTGTTATTTTCCCAAGATAGCGGGATGACTTTTTATGAACCACAGTTATATGTCGTATCACATCACGCTTCCGGCGAGTTTCATAAGTGCAAAGAGGGCACTTGTAGAATTTAACATAAATGTTATTCCCATCTGTGTGCAACTCAATGTGTTTAGTCAAGTTCTGTTTGGAAGTAAACTGACGTTTACAAAGTTTACAGTAAAGTTGCTTAAAGTCAAAGCCAGCTGAAAGTTTTGGTTTCCTGGTTTTTTGCTGGCCACCTGCAGCCGAAGGACTGGTTGATTTAGGGCTTTCAGAGTCTTGTTTAACTGTATTTTTCTGTGCCGCCGGTGTGTTCTTTTTTTCATTTGAATGATTTGTTCCCTTTAATTCATTCTGTGGAGAATGGGTAATGGAAGGGGGTGAAGATTCTACAGAATCTGCTGGTTCAACTTTAACTTTTATTTCTGAACTGTTGGCAGTATTATTAGGGCCTTTCTCTCTTTTAGAGTTTGTCCCAGAAAGAGTTATCTTGTGGGCCATTTGCATATGTCTTTTAAGCATTATTTGTGAACTATATTTCCTCTTGCAAAGGAGGCATTTGCATGCGGTTAAATTGTATTCAGCCTTTGAAGACGACTTTTGTTTTCGAGTCTTAAAAGATTTTTTAGGAGAAACAGAATCCAGGAACAAAGGTTGCCCAGGCTTTGTTGCTATATCAGGAGTAATTGAATCCCTCCTTAGTCCTCTATGAACTTCATCAAAATGCCTCCTTACATTCGCTTTTGTAGCAAATGATTTACAACATACTGGACAACTCCTACTTAATGGAACTAGAAGATTCTTACTGCGTCCTTTAAAGATTTGGTTTGGATTCTTTCGTGTTTCAATGTACTTTTTTAATTCTTCCATCTTTTTCTTATGTACTTTTCGAATGTGACGACGAACACCTCGTCTGGAATTAAATTCTTTTCTACAAAGACAACATATCAACTGGTGACCAAAATCAGAATTGTCAGAAGTTTCCAAGTCAGCCTGTGATTCCTGAGGTTGTTCATTAGATGTGGGTGCAACTTCATCTGCAGCCATCTCAACAGGAGGGGGCTCTACAGTTTCCTCCTCTGTAACTGTAACTGGTACTGTTTTAGATGGGTCAGTGTCACTTTCTGGTATTTGAACTTCAGTTTGTTCAGGAGTAGTACTGCTTGACTCTGTGACTTCAGTTGGATTATCAGTCCTTGAAATATACTGAAACACTGCATTTTGATTAGTTTCTATGGGTTCTAGCTTAATAATATATTCTCGCTTGTCCACACTTGGATATATGGCTTCTAGGAGATCATTTATGGCTTGGCTTTGTTTATCATTTACATCAGGAAGGTCTGTTAAGAAAAAAATAACAGCATTTTAATCCGGAATAATTAACCTGCTGTATAGCCTTCTAATATTTTTTAATGTATTATGAATGGGCTATCTTAAAATTTATATTTCTGGTTCATGTTCATTTTTAAAACAGCATTATCTCTTTTCAGTATTTTATAAAGATAAAAACTAGTATTAAACTAAAATTTCCTTTAAGACCTCAATATAGTATGCAAAAGATAAAAAATTGATGCAACAATTGTGGTTCCACGAACACTTTTCTAGCCTACTGTCTGCCTTCTTCACATTAAGTTATTTCAGATCTCAAATTAGCCCATAATACAATCCAATTTCTGATAAAATTACTGATCTAAATAAATTTCAACAATAACAAAATTGATCTTCAAATCAAGACCCAGAAAGATTAACACTCTCTACCATTCCCATGAAATCAACTCATTTACTCATTCAACCTTCTCATTCACTTAAGAGAAATCTTAGTAAATGATTAGTCATATCTGGTAACATGATGTTAAAGAGGTAAAGATGAAAAATACCAATTTTTTCTTCAAGAATTAGTACTGTAACTTACATAAATCCTGACTATAAACTATATGATTCATATGGACATTCAAAAAACAATATTCAATATTTTAATACAAATAAATAAATATACTCATAAATCTAACCTTATATATCCATAGGAAAATCCAAATGAAAAGTGCAGGTATAAAAGTCCATATCTAAGAAGCTGAATATAACTTTGAACCAAGTATTTAATTTTATTCTCTATCATTAAATTATCCATAAATGGATATCCATAATTTAACACAAACATACAGTTGAAATATAAGGATACTTAATTGTAAAATGCATAACTGAACAAATGACTGAAACTTACTATCATCCATCTGGAGACTTGGTGGGCAGTAGAATTTTTTGTGGGTAATTAAATTTGGTAATCCTCTGAAGAGACTTCGGCATAATTTACATTCAAAAATAGTGTCCACATCTTTTAATAAAATGTGTTTCAGCTGTTTAGTTCCTAAGGGGAGGGAAAAAGAAAATGTTACACAAAAAGTAACTTCAATATGTACTTTTAAACTGAACAATTGTTGAGAATTCAAAAGTGCAGTTTTACTTATTAAAAACATTATATAGACATTTCCAATTATTACCACAATGTGTTATTCACAATTTAAGCAAAAATCCTATCATTTGGATATAAGTACTTCTAAATTTAATGCTATTTTTCTAATTCTGAAGTCAATCAATTCTTGGGATATCCCAACATTGGTCCCAACGTCTATTTGTTTAATCATCAAAATGACCTGAGAATAAAGAAGTACCTATGTGACCCATGCCCAGAAATTCTATACATCTAGAGCGGGACAGAAAAATTAAATGTCCCCATCTCCTCCCACTCCCTGCCAAAGTTTTTGCCTGGTTTTTCAAGCTTACTTATGCATTAGGAAGTAAACATGGAGTTTTGTAACACATTTTCCTGATTCTTAAAGAAAGTCAAAACTGTCCAGCCAGCTTGGCAGAGTGGTTGAGCATCGACCTATGAACCAGAAGGTCGCAGATTTGATTCCCGGTCAGAGCACCTGCCCAGGATGCAGGCTCAATGCCCAATGTGGGACTTGTAGGAGGCAACCTATCAATGATTCTCTCTCATTATTGTTTCTATCTCTCCCTCCCTTTCCCTTCCACTCTGAACTCAATATTTTTTTTGAAAACTGTGTCACTGTGACTTTTCTTTTTTAAATCAGATCAAATTACTTCAAATTCTGGGCCAACTAAGGATTATGGCCATTTAGTGTGAGAGTAGATCTTGTCCATCAAAATCTTGAATTTTGCTTAAGCCTCTTGATACCACTATAAATTTACTCAAAACCCTTTCCCTCCAAAAGTTACTCCAATTGCAATTAATTCAATATTGACATACTAGTTTAAAGCCTGCCTTCCCCACTAAGATTATAAACTCCAAAGCAGCCAAGACCAAGTATGTCTTACTTATAACTACAAAGTATTCAACTCTAATAGTGCTCAAAAAATATGCGTTAAAGAAGTGTCAGTGATCTAGGAATTCTAAGCATTGTGACAAAATATCAAAGGGCAGAGAAAAAAATAAATGGCAACAAGCTTGTAATCTTTAAAATAAAAACATCCACCACAAATAAAACACAAATGGAAGGTGCTCTATCACTACTTCCTACAGGTAACTGCCAAAGGTAAATTGAAAAAATTGACCTGCAATGCTTTACTATTTAATGAGTCTTTAGTTTTCTCAAATAAAAGGAAATGATAATATTGATTTAAATTAAAAACAAAAGTGTCCTAAGAAATACATTTAAGACCACTTATGTGTAAAATGCTCTTTCATTCAGCAACTATTTGACTCTCTGTTTAAGCTCTGGAACTACTAAAGAATAATCACAATCTTACTAATATAATTAATATTGGCGGGTCCATAAAAATATTTGATTCAACCTTTGCAATTTGTTTATATTTAATTTTCATATTTATCATCATTTCGTATTTTATCATCATTTTGAAAATAGACCAAACTTCAAAATTCTACTGAAAAAGGACTGATTAGCAGGTTACCAGAACTTTACTAAGTCTTTAGAGGTTATAATTTTGATAGTCATGTGACCTTAAAGAGTTGTATAATCTTTACACTTTGACTTATCCATATTGTAAAATGAACAAGCCAAACCTATCTTAGAGAAATTATTAAAGTGGATATACCTAACCCCTCCCCAAACTATATATTTGGGTTTCTATTGCAAAATATATTCAGCCAGTTCTCAGGTTACATCAGACTCAACTTAGGTCGTTTCGTGGTTATGTTGCCATCTCCCATTTACAGTATTTATTTTAAAAAATTTTCATCATTTTGACGTATGTACACATGTGCTTTATGTTTATTATTATTTATTTACAAGTAAAGGTCAGGAATTATCTTTCTTTTGAATTTATTTTACTGTTTGACTTCATTACTGCTATGTATGTGCTCCATGTGAGTGATATAGGTGCTTATGTAGGTGGTTTCCAACTTACGGCAAAATTATGCCGTAGGAATGGACATAACCCAAGGACTGCCTGGATAAAACTAGAGGTCTGATGCATGAAATCTGTGCAAGAGTAGCCTTCCTTCCCCAAATGCCAGCACCAGCTTTCCCTGGCACCGGAACATGGACTTCCTTCTAGCCGCCAGCAGGCACCCAGGACTTAGGCTTCCCTCACAGCCCTGGCTCCATCCAGAAGGTCATCCGAAGTACATCTGGTCTAATTAGCATATTACTCTTTTATTATTTATTATAGATGAAATAATTTCCACCACTTCCCAAATCTAAATCAATGTTTACTAGCCCATATTACCACAAAATCAGAAATCATAAAATTAAAAAGATTCAGAAGACAGCTTGGGTATTATTCTTTTTAAAAAATATATTTTATTGATTTTTTACAGAGAGGAAGAGAGAAGGATAGAGAGTTAGAAACATCGATGAGAGAGAATCATCGATCAGCTGCCTCTTGCACAACCCCTACTGGAGATGTGCCCGCAATCAAGGTACATGCCCTTGACCAGAATTGAACCTGGGACCTTTCAGTCTGTAGGCCGACACTCTATCCACTGAGCCAAACCGGTTTCAGCAGTATTCTTCTTTATAAAAAAGTAAATTCAAATATAAACATACATACACACACACACATTTGCCTAGTCCATTTCACATTACAAAATATATTAGCAATAAACTGCTACTCTATTTCTAGTTCACAGTTAAACCCCTAAGTGACTGACAAACTATAAGAGGTAGACTAAAAGAAGTACTTTATATAAACTTCTCTACTAATCTACATAAAGTTCTCAGGAAGAAAACATAAAAACTTTTTGCAGTTTAATTCTAATTAAAAGACCTTCAAGACCTACGCTAAAGATTCAACTCTGCCTTTTAAGGTAGTCAAAAAGGACTAAAGGGGGACACAGAAATAACCTAAACTAGGTTAACATAAGAATTCAACTCAAGAGTTTCATAAAAAGTACAGCATGAGGTTATACATTTTTAAAAAGATACTTGTAAAAATATAAGACTGCATTCCTAAATCAGACATATCACTGTCTACCAGGTTCTCAATTGACCATAAAACAAAACAAAAGAACAAAAAAAATATTTCTCCAATATTTCTAGTTATAGAGTAAGTAGAAGCCTGATGCACAAAGATTTGTGCAAGAATGGACCTTTCTTTCCCTGACTGCTAGCACCGCCTTTCCACTCCAGCCCCACCTTGCCATGCTGCCCAGAGGCCCTGTGCAGCTGGGGTGATGGGGAACCCCTTCATGATCACCATGGTGATGATGTAAGCATTCTGCCCCACCCCCGGCCACTAGGCCCCTGTGTATGCAAATTACACTCCATCTTTGTTAGGTTAATTTGCATACTAACTCCTGATTGCCTGGTGGACGTCATGAAGTTATAGTCAATTTGCATATTTCTCTTTTATTAGTGGAGATATTCAGTATAGAGTGCCCAGTAAGCATACAAAAACAGAAAAGTATCTAATTAATCAACCTTAATTATTGATCACAAATGCTACACTTCCCCCACCACCCCACACCTCTGCACACACACACACACAAAACAGTTGTGTTGATCCAGGCATACTAAATGTCTTTCAGGTCCACAGATATACCAAATTCTATCTATAATATCTTGCTTTTCAGGCCTTCATCTTTTTTCCCCTCTTATGAATTCTTCCATTTCCCTGGTCTGGCTCACTTGTAATCCTTCAGATCTCATGTTATATGTCACAATCCCCAGGAAACCTCTTACTATTTTTGTTAAGAGTTTTTCATCTATACCCTCATAGTATCCTATACATCTATACTATTAGCCCACTACTATGTAATTAATTACTTATCTGTATCCCCATTTACCTGGAAGCTCTGAAAAGAACAGAGAAGAGATCTTTATTGCTCACCATTATATTCCCAGTCCTCAGGACCATGGTTTATTAACATTTTTTAAATGACATATTGAAGAGCTTTCTTTATATGTTTAAGAAAACCCTCTCGCCGAGGCCGGTTGGCTCAGTGGATAGAGCATCAGCCTGCGGACTGAAAGGTCCCTGGTTCGATTTCGGTCAAGGGCATATACCTTGGTTGCTGGCACATCCCCAGTAGGGGGTGCGCAGGAGGCAGCTGATCGATGTTTCTACCTCTCTATCCCTCTCTCTTCCTCTCTGTAAAAAATGAATAAAATATAGTTTAAAAAAAAGAAAAGAAAACCCTCTCTATAAATAAGATTTTTCTAGTCTATGTAGAGTGGACTAGGAAATCAAAAAAGGGACCTGCCGAAACTGGTTTGGCTCAGTGGATAGAGCGTCGGCCTGCAGACTGAAAGGTCCCAGGTTCAATTCCAGTCAAGGGTATGTACCTTGGTTGCAGGCACATCCCCAGTAAGGGGTGTGCAAAAGGTACCTAATCGATGATTCTCTCTCATCGATGTTTCTAACTCTCTATCCCTCTCTCTTCCTCTCTGTAAAAATTCAATAATTTTTTTAAAGGGACCTAAAAGATTTTCTGCTTACACATTTACCAATGAGAAAAATACTTTTAATTTTTTATTCCATAAATACAGACACACACACACACACACACAAAAACACACGTTTTTCTCAAAGTTAGTTTCAGTAGCCATTTAAGGTTTTTGTGTTTTTTTTCCAATGGGGGTATAACTTTATTCTAATCAGCTACCATTTTCTAATTGATCTGCTAACAATGAGGCATATGCAACCACTATGTCTTCATAAACAGCTAAAACCGGAGACAACAGACACGGTCACCTAGACAGCACCATAAAATTCTTCCAACAGCTCTTGATCCTGGGGAAAAAAAGCCATTGTGCCTTCCTCCTAATTATTCCTTTTCCTCCCTCTTTCTTACCTTAATTATCTTAGAATTCACTATATACTACTTACACAGATCACCAATCAGTATTTTTCCAAACACCAGCCCTCCAAAGGGTATGGTTTTTG